GCAGAGTGACATTGCTTTAAACATATTGAAGGCTGCAAACATATTGAATGCTAGTTGAGGGGATGTCAAAAGAAAGAAACTTCAGAAAAATTTTGAGCTTTACATGAGTCTCCAAGTCATGGCTTGTTGGCAGAGTAGCATTGCTTTAAACATCTTGAATGCAGCTTGAGGGGATGCCGAAAGGAAGAAACCTCAGACAAATTTTGAACTTTACATGAGTCTCCGAGTCATGGCTTCCTATGATTTTTGGCTCAGCTTCATGTTGGCAGAGTGACATTGCTTTCAACATCTTGAATGCAGCTGCTTGAGGGGATGTTAAAAGGAAGAAACTATAGACAAATTTTGAAATATATACAGAGTCTCCAAGTCATGGCTTGCTATGGTTTTTGGCTCAGTTTCATGTTGGCAGAGTGCAAAACCTGGAATGTCTCCGGTCACAATTTTTTTTGCCTTGAATATTTTTTTTTTTTGAAACAAAAGTATGTCCGAACAAAATTGAATTCGACTGGCTAGATAGCTGCATGCTCTTCATTTTTTTCCTATTTTGATTATATTCCATAAGATTCTACTTTTTATTTATTGGTAGCAATCATTTCTTTTTAAAATCAACCACGAATGATTAATTTGATTTGTTATCATTTAACTCACTAAATGATTTTGTTAAATAAATTAAATATAAAGTAATAATTTTCAGCTCATAATATTGTGTCCAAGCTCTATTAAAATAAACTACAGTGTCAAAACTCAAAACCAGGATTTGGGCTTGAGCTGGACATGTGCTCCCATTCTAGTCCAACCCTAAATGTTCATAATATTGTGTCCAAACTCTATTAAAATAAACTATAGTGTCAAAACTCAAAACCAGGATTTGGGCTTGAGCTGGACATGTGCTCCCATTCTAGTCCAACCCTAAATGTTCATAATATTGTGTCCAAGCTCTATTAAAATAAACTATAGTGTCAAAACTCAAAACCAGGATTTGGGCTTGAGCTGGACATGTGCTCCCATTCCAGTCCAACCCTAAATGTTCAACACAGTGTTAGTTTTTCCCATGGAGGGGACATACCTGGTGTGGCATTCGAGTCAAAGTAATCGAACATCTTTTTATGGGCTATGGGGACCAGTTCCTCTCGCTCTCCTTACTCTATAATCTATAATCAATTAGACAGCTGAAATGCAAAATTTCAGTTTTTGCGCTTTTAAGTTAAACCTTTTCTTGCATGGATCTCATCCCCTTTCATTTGATTGGAAAGTTAAGAGATTTTTCTCATCCAGCAGCGGAACCTACAGTTGAGATCGAGAAGCAATAAAAAGCCAAAAATTAGAATTATTTTGGTTTAGACTGGTTTGAAGGAAAAATTAACGGACCAATCAAATTAAAATTATTGGTTTAAACTAATTTTTGATTAGTTTGGTTTAAAAACTTCAAAAAAATTATTATTAGTTTGGTTGTTTTTATCTAAAATTGACTAAATTGAAAATGTTCAACCTTAATTATTGATGTTGATGAGTTTTATTTGATAACAAGATTTTCATTAAGTTGTTTTTACCCTTCAATTTGACAAAAAAAGAAAGGTTAAGAAAGATTTTTTTATGATTATTTTTTAATTTTTAGATCAATTTAAAATGTTTTATATTGAAGAATTAGTTTATTGAAATCCTAAAAGTATTTATTATATGTTATTTGATGAACACATATTGATTTTTTTTTTAATTTAAAACAACCCTAACTCTATTTTCAATCTACATGGTTGTAATCCATGGTTGTAATCCAGTTAAGGAAATGATACGTTATTTATCTTTTTTAATAAAAAAAAATACATAATATGTTATTTACCCCTTAAACCAAGAAAAAAAAAAAGAGTTAGCAACGCAGCTTAATCTTGTATAAGCCCGCACTCTTGACCTCTTTTTTTCTTGTTGTTAATTCTTTTTCTCCAATTTAAATTAAAAGTCATTAAAGTAAATTAATTAATATTATGTTTGGGATATTTTTTGTTGAATACCATTAAATTGTTTTTTCTTCAAATAAAATTATAACATTCTTTTATAATATTAGAAGTTGTTTCTTTTAATTTAAACTATAGTGGTTTTTTTTTTAATTTTTATTAAATCACTTTCTTGCGGATATTTATTTTTAGTAATATATAATCAAATAAAAAATTCAACCTAACCAAATTAAACCTTAACCTGAATTGCGAATTTTATAAATTAATTTTAGTTTACTCAACTCAAAACATAAAACATGATTGTTTAAATATATGTTAAAAAAAAAGGGTGAAACAATGGTGTATTGACAATATTTATTTTTAGTTATCAATTAATTTAATAAAACACAGATTTTAATTTTTCAATTCATAAAATGAAAATTTTCTTAGTTTTTTTTAAAAGGTTTAAAACACTTATATATATTTACTTATATTTACTTAGAAATAATTTTTGATCCAGTTTATTCACTCAAATTTGACAAAAAAAGAAAGGTTAAGAAAGATTTTTTTATGATTATTTTTTAATTTTTAGATCAATTTAAAATGTTTTATATTGAAGAATTAGTTTATTGAAATCCTAAAAGTATTTATTATATGTTATTTGATGAACACATATTGATTTTTTTTTTAATTTAAAACAACCCTAACTCTATTTTCAATCTACATGGTTGTAATCTAGTTAAGGAAATGATATGTTATTTATTTATTTTTTAATAAAAAAAGATACATGATATGTTATTTACCCCTTAAACCAAGAAAAAAAAAAAGAGTTAGCAACGCAGCTTAATCTTGTATAAGCCCGCACTCTTGACCTCTTTTTTTCTTGTTGTTAATTCTTTTTCTCCAATTTAAATTAAAAGTCATTAAAGTAAATTAATTAATATTATGTTTGGGATATTTTTTGTTGAATACCATTAAATTGTTTTTTCTTCAAATAAAATTATAACATTCTTTTATAATATTAGAAGTTGTTTCTTTTAATTTAAACTATAGTGGTTTTTTTTTTAATTTTTATTAAATCACTTTCTTGCGGATATTTATTTTTAGTAATATATAATCAAATAAAAAATTCAACCTAACCAAATTAAACCTTTACCTGAATTACGAGTTTTATAAGTTAATTTTAGTTTACTTAACTCAAAACATAAAACATAATTGTCTAAATATGTATTTTACAAAAAAGAGTGAAACAATGGTGTATTGACAATATTTATTTTTAGTTATCAATTAATTTAATAAAACACAGATGTTAATTTTTCAATTCATAAAATGAAAATTTTCTTAGTTTTTTTTTTAAAGGTTTAAAACACTTATATAGATTTACTTAGAAATAGTTTTTGATCCAGTTTATTCACTAAATGTATGGGCTGTACTCTTGGCATAGAAAGTTTGATCTGAGGATATTTTTAACAGTAAAACCAAATAATAATGAAGATAGAGCTATTAATATGAGGTTTAAGACAATGATGCATCCATTGAAATTAATTGGGATTCCGAATTCCTTCTACCATTGGGCACCGATCAAACGGTGGAGGGAATTCGGAGATCCCAATTTTGGTAGGCTGATCACAATTTTTAGATTTAACAAATTTGGTGAAACTCCAAATTTGGAATCTATTCAACTGCACAAAATAGGAGGAACATGCGGATAAACTGCAATAGCATTGAGAACCGGGCATCTTCTTTCAATCTCAATAAAGAAAGCACGAAACTTTAATCAACATCACAAGAGATTTGCATACTTGCAAAGGCCCTCGATCATGTTCCCACATGCAAATTAAAAAGGAAAGAAAAAACCGGCAGGAATTATTTCCATGTCTGGAATATCAAAATCTTCAAAACAAGTAGCCAGGTAATCTCAATATAAAAATGTATGCATGCATCGAAAATAATTTTTCATTAGAACATTATTATGCATGCGTACCGAGTTCATCAATTTAGTGTCATAACAAACATTGAAAAATAAATAGAAACTCAAGATGGAAGGAACTTCAAGAAATAAAACAACATCCTATATATTCTAAGAATTGCACTGCTAAAGAAAATGAAGATCAGTTTTGATCATTTTTCTGGGACTTTTGTGATGTTTCGTTTGTTTTGGCATGTCCGAATCTCCCTGATCGAGTGGTAGAAACCCTGTTTGCGTACCGTCACTATCAGTATCAATGTCTCCTTCTATTGTCAATCCTTCAATCCTTGCAGCTATGGAATCCATATTTCTAACTCCCACATTTACGTCTGCCAAAAATGTAAAAAGGAATTAAAAATTCACGAGAGACGAATTCTACGAGCTAGCAGGATTCATCCAATGATATCAATACGAAGGAACTGATGTCAATCAAACTATAAACTCATTGGCCATACAATTTAATATTCAATCATTTGGATCATGTCTGTCATGCTCTAAACCATTTTACTACCTGGATTGGAAAAGAACCATAAAACAAGGCCACAAAGAAGCAGCACGAATGGAATAATATGGACAGCATTTTCTGCAAACTTCGCACGTGACTTCTCCTTCATCGCCAATTCCACCATTGGATCATAGGCTGGCAGCTGATTCAATTCCATGGACGATGACATTCTCATCCCTTGAGTTCCCTCATTGGGCGATGAGTGCATATAGTACTGATCAGCCATCCTGTGCTTGAAGTAATCGTCGTCGGCAACCCGGTTCCAGCTTGCTGATCTATGCATTTTTTGTGTTGTTTGGCAAGAACAATGACAAGGAAAAAAAAAAGAAAAGAACGGAATGAAGAAGAAGGAGAAAGGATTCTCTCTCTCTCTCTCTATATATATATACGGACAAAAATGGAAGTGTATTTTTTTATGATGGTTCGTTAATGAATTCAAGGAAAATGGCTTGGATTAGGGAGAATCTGTTTTTTTGGCTGTCCTCTTTTTCTATGTAAGAGGGTTTGTTAGGTGAATTAGTCTTTGTTAGTTATTATTACAACCTAGTCATTAAATACAAGGAAATGTGTTCACCGACGTACTTCTTTTTTGAGAAAATCATCAAATTATGTCATCATTTATTTTTAAGAAAACTATCCAAACTTGTCTTCACATCTCATCTTAATCTAGCATCTAATGAAAATTAAGAGTAGAGATGGCCAAAGCCCCAACTCTATAAACCCACTAGACCTGGGTGGGTAATAGCAGAGAAACATGGAGAAAGGGCAGAAGACCAAACCAGCACGGTTGGCTCTAAACCAAAAGAACCAAACTGCTAAAATAAACTATGATCACCAAGACCTAATACATAATCCTGACAACAAGTCAAGTATAGCTATTTCATCTGCTACCTTGTTTCAACCCTGTATAGGTGAAAAAAAAAGAACACATTGTAGAGAGAGAAGTTGCATCTAGGCCTTGATCTTTAGTGTATCGATGAAGTTCTTTCCTTCTGCGATGTCATTCTTGCATAGAAAATCCAGGAAATCTCTGAAGCTGCTGTCTTTATATTTCTTAGGATGTTGATCATCCACAAGCTCCTCTGCAGTCCCCATTTTCTCATCCATACCCATACTATGTAGGCTAGCGATTGAGATTCTAATCCTTTCAGAATTCAGTATGGCCCTATGCACAACACTTTCGTACAAGCCATTGCTTAGTACCTCAAGATGGTCCCCTATGTGGACCTGAAGAGCACCATGAACGTCCGGGATTAGCTTCCACTTGCCATCTCTTTTATCGATGACTTCAAGGCCGGCCGAGTTCTGGAGGACAATGCTTAAGCAAGTGTAGTCCGAATGCGGCGGCAATCCTAGCGCGAGTTCAGGGTTTGGGCATGGAGGGTAGCAATTAACTGCCATGACTTGCATTCCATCCTCCATCTGGTTGCTCAAGTAACTTGGACCCAGCCCAAGGCTCTCATTGATGGCTCCCATTACCTCCAAGGCTAGTTTCCTAACTTCTTTGCAATATTTTCCCATGTTTTCCCTAAAGTGCAAAAATTCCTAGATATGAGAAAATCTAGGAATTTGTTAAGAAAAGACAAACAGAGATTCATGCAATTGTACCCCGAAGTAATGAGATTCATAAATTATAAGCTGCTTTCCATTTGCATTGTTTTGCTGAGACAATTAATATAATAGGCATATAGTAAATTAAAATGGCAACTTGGGATTGAAATATGTCGAGGGGATAGAAGTGCAGTAATAGCTATTTTTCTAAAATATTTTTTATTTAAAACTATATTAAAATAATATTTTTTTTAAATTATCATTAATGTTAATATATTAAAACAATCTGAAAATAAAAAAAAATTAATATTTTTAAAACACAAAAACAAGTAGGTTTATGATCATTTAAACGCAGGGTAATGCAAATTGTAAATAGAAAAGTATTGTTATTATTATTATACGGATTGATTGGATTCATACAAGGCATATGATCTGGTATGCTAAATCCCAATATTATTAGTGACCGTGCGTGATTAATTTGATCTACGTACTCAAGTAAAAAAGTGTTTGTTGCTTGCATATTAAATATCAACTTTTGCCTTTATGGCCTTAAGAATGAGAAGAAAAAAACAACTTAAGATAAAAATAATTACCTGTAATGAGGTGGATTTTTTGGCCATAGATGAATGCAGTCAGATAAAGGATGTGCATAATGCTTGAGGAAAACCCTCCAAAACTGGAATTTGTCATCTCCATCTTTGAGGCTCGTCCCATACCTTACTGGCTTCCTTACATCATTGGACACGAACTTCACCTTCTCTTCGGTAGGTAATTTGAAAAAATCCGACGCCACAGAAAGTGCTCCATCCAATATTGATTGGCAAATTCCATGATTGACAATCTGTGTGATCAATATATAAGCAGAAAATAAAATAAAAAATGAATGCTGTCGAGTTCCATAAATCTATTCTGTCCGCTTGTTACGCTAGTCCAAGCAATAGAGATCGATATCCCATTACTTGTACATGTTGAACAGCCATTATATATAACATGAAAAAGCTTGTGTAAAATATTGCGATACTTACTTGAAAGAATCCCACTTGGTGACAAGCATTTCCAATTTCTTTAATGGCATTAGCCCTTTGTGTAGCATCCTGCCTCAACCTAGAAAAATCAATAACAGGCACATTGGCAGTCTCTGGAGCCAAACTCGGACGATTTGAAGATGGAATTACATAACAATCTGGCACGCATGACCAGCTTCTGTCTTGCGTTCTATTGCCAATCGTAAATGAACTTGAGCTATCCTTTTTTTCCATCCCAAAACCTCAACCAAAAAATGCCTCAAAAAAGGCTCAAAATAGTACCAAAATATGAGTAGAAGGATAAGCAGGTAAAATAAAAATTTGACGGTTTGGTAGAGTATCCAAGAGTGGGGTTTATATAGGAGAGTTTTGAGTGTCAAAAGTAAGTTTGCTAGTGCTTTGGACACGCAGACCAGTTTCAAGAGTAAAAGCTGCAACATTTTCCTGCTATTCTGATGTAGACATGTCAAAACTGGGCAAAATCATCTGTTCTCTATCCCATCCAGCAATTGATAAAAGCTAGAAAACAAAAATGAACTTTTCGCAGGAAAGTCGTGGGAAGTTGTGGATTTATGTAGCCAGTTGATTGAATTGAACTTGGGAAGTTGTGGATTTATTGTGGATTTATGCAGCCAGTTGATTGAATGGAAGTTGGCATGCAATTAACGCACCTTTAAAACCAAGTAGGCTGAAGTGGGTCTCTTCTGTTGAACATGTGTTAAGCCACAAGCCCACTTGCATTGTCGCCTCCCAAAACTGCTGGTATTGAGGCCCGTTGTTTTCCAGATGAGGATAGAGCATCCTAATTATGACCAGCTTGATTCAAGCACACACATGCAAAGGCCTGTTTAATATATCTTTCTTGCAAGCAGCCGGGCCCCAGCTCTATGGCTGCGTCATGAATATTATAACCAGAAATTGAGTATAGCCATGAGATTTTATTATTTATCTGGATACCCAGGAAAAGTTTGTTTTGAGCCAACAAATTTTGAAAGACACCATCCATTTTTGCCCACATCATGATCATGAAAAAGACTATAGTACTTAAAAAGCATTAATCGCATTCCGTGAACAATTCGTGCACTATTCCTAGAGACTGGAAAATTCTATCAGCATGTGTGTGTATGACTGATGTCCAGAATTGACCCAGTGCATGCTGGCTTCAGACGGATTTATATATTTCGTTTTGATTATTTCCTCCATATTCTTTTTTTTTTTTTTGATTATTTCCTCCATATTCTTGAAAATAAGGGTTAGACCGGTATGCGTGCAGACGTGCAGTACTGTTCATATTCGCATGCAAATAAACCATTCGGATGTGTTGAAAAGCTGCCGCCTTGAACTTTCATGTAATTTCCTTCGGCTTTGTATCGTCGGTCCAGCGATTTTTAGATTATAAAACAAGCCTAATGGCATTGGGTTTTTACTGTTTATCAATGTTTATCGGGACATATTTATATTGTGGATTAAAGTAGTATAATAATGTAATTGGTGTTGGATCAGCATAGCATATTTTGATTTGACATCACTTATTATTATTATTATTATTATTATATATTAAAGGGAACCATAAATTTAATTTTAAAAATAAAATTATAAATTATAAAAACTTGAGTAAAACATATTTAAAAATATCATTATTATTATTATTATTATTATTATTATTATAAGAAGGTAAAACTTAAATAACTTAGATCTGTGGTGCCTCTAGATTTAAAAAATTTGGGTTTGAAAATGAAAGTGAAACTTAATTATTTTGGATTTGATATAAGTGCTAAATCTAAGCTTTTTTAAAAATATATATTTTTTAAAATATAATTTTTTATATATTTTTAAAAAAATTAACATTCACTCATTGCAAATCGCATGTCAATACGCTAATATATTATCATGTGGGAATGGTTTGTTGCATAGTAGCTCCCATCTCCTGTTCTTCAAGCAATCATTCCATTGTGTTATTTGATTTGCTAGTGGACATGGAAATAAGTGAAATTGCTCAAGTCAAAAACTAAGAATTAATTTGGAGTTGGAAGGGGGTTCAACTTCCTCAATGCAGGCAAACCTTTTCTTCTCACCCACCTCACCAACTACAAAGAAAATGGATAGAACTTCCGACACACTAAAGGAAGATGGTTCGACCACCCACGTCGACTGATAAACTATACTTACTGACCACATCTTGCTCCAGTCCATCCACCACGTGACAAAAATGTTAAATTACTGGATGTTATGGAGGTTAAACTACACCATGTAGTCCCTCAATTCTTACATTTCAGTCATTCTAACCCCTCCACTACGACTTTCAGCTCAGCAACCCTTATATATACTTCCCATTTTTGTTTTTTCATGTCCTCATTTTCACTTACAAGTATATCTGTGGAAACAAATGACATCCATATAATGACCATAATTTGTATGAAGGACTGAAACAACAATGAATTGAAAGTATAAGGGTTAGTGTGCCTAAAACTTTATTGAGGGGATTAAGATGGCCAAAATAAAAAAACATTGGACCGATATTTACCCTGTTTTTGATAGGTGGAGACCGCACCACAATTTCAATCAAGCTTGAGCACCGCAATCCCAATATTCACTTTGGACCGATGCTTTACTATGATTTAGATGAAGGAAAAGGCTCCTTTCATGATGAATTGACGTTCGAAACAAGAATGTCTTCTGACAATTTTTTTTAGTCTTGAATCCCTTAAATTTGTAGTAGATATATATATTGAAAACATAATATTGATTTAAGGGTGGGTAGTGAAGTTTTATTCCTTCTCGATTGTTCAAACAAACCATGCTCTATAAAATAAACTCAATAACAAAAAAAAAAAAAAAACACGAAACAAACACAGGCATCGCAAATTTGAAGTTAGGTCATCTAATCTTAATCAACCTTCACATACATACATACATACATACATACATACATATATATATACATACATACATACATATATATATATATATATATATATACAAGCTGTGCCTAATCATCTTCTTCTCGTGTTTGCCATCATCATTCACATATCAATGGCTAAGCTGGTTTTGGTCTCTTCTCTGGTTGTTGTTGGCATAGCATTAACATGCAATGCAGCAACTTACATGGTAGGTGATAACTCTGGTTGGGACATAAGTACTGACCTTGATACATGGGCACAGAGCAAGAAATTTGTCGTTGGGGATCTTCTATGTAAGTACTTTTACGTTATGGTCATAATTTAATGTTTCAATCACTAGAAAAATAAAATAAAATTGAATGGCAACTGGACTCTCTCTCTCTCTCTTTCTTTCTGTCAATCGTTGTAGTGTTTCAATACTCATCATCCCACAGTCTTGAGGAGGTGAAGAAGGAAGATTTCGACAGCTGCAACACTACTAATGTTGCAAGAACATTTACGAATGGGAACACAACCGTGCCTTTGACAGAACCTGGGACGAGATACTTCGTTTGTGGTAACCAGTTACATTGTCTAGGAGGAATGAAGCTTCATGTAAATGTAGAAGACAACCAAGCAAATCCACCGATTGGGGCGCCACAAGCACAGCCAGCAGGGGGTACTCTTACACAACCTTCTTCTAAGAGCAACAATCCTGCCTCTGTTATTCCAACTTCAGCGGGGTCTGTCTATGGGGGAAGGGATTGTATTGTGATGGTGTTTCTTGGTTTTGTGGCTACTATGTTCTGGGCGGTGCAAGTTTGATTGGTAAATGTTTGTAATCTTGTTTATTTATTTATTTTTCATGTATGGTGAGGTTGATCTTATTTTTTAATTTCACGATTCTTGTTCTTATAATTTTTTGATACGATGAAAAAAAAACCTCAAGCTTATTTTTTGTATACCAGTTGTATGACACCAGCTGTATATCACAAGAATTCAACTTATTTATCGGAGTTTAAGGAGACCATGTTAGCCAAGTTTTGGGAGATTAATTAGCTAGCAATTTCAATACAATATCTGTATCATATACGAGCAAGGTTTTAGGAGACTAGTTTTAGAACTCCTTGTATATGTTTTAACACATGCATTACAGAATGGATAAGCAATTCTCTCCAACCTTTTTTTTCTTTTCTAATTTGGTATTGGAGCATCTGAAATGGCCTCGCCCTCAAGCCTCTAGCCTTACTCCAATTCCAGTATTTCCAAATGCCCTTCCTTCTACCCTAACTCATGCTCAAGATTCTCCCTATCAAAATGACCCTTGGAAATTTTCTGATCTGGAAGACTCAATTCACTCCCGTTCGTAATTGCTATAGATTGAATGGGCACACTAACGGCACCATTCCAGTACCACCAAAGCATATTTTCAATTCTGAAATCAATTCCCTTTGATGAAAATCCAGAATACAACAAATGGTTTCAGAGAGATCAACTGCTCCTTGGCTGGATCCTCTCCTCACTCTCAGAGGAATTCATTCCTTACGTAGTAGGCTTGGATAATTCTTATGATGTATGGCAAGCTCTTCTTCATGCTTTTTGTTCGGGTTCCAGTGCTAATCCACCTAGCTCTGCAAAAGCTCACCTTTGCAGACAAAACTATGGCTCAGTTTCTCAAGGAAGCTAAATTGATCTCTAATGAATTAGCAGCAGATGGAACTCCTCTTGGTATGGCTGAATTTAATGCAAATATATTCAGATTACTTCCCACTGAATATCATCCCATTATCGCTGATGTCTCTGCAAGAAACGATCACCTCTCTTTCCATGAGCTGTCAGGGAAATTAATTGCGCATGAAATATTACTTCAGAGTTCCAGACGCTTGATCACTGCTACTGTCAACATGACAAGTCGCTAAACCTTTCATTATATCAATAATGGTAACAATAAGAGGAACAACAACTCCTCTAATCAGCAGCAAGGACAGAGGAAACAGGAGGTTCTTTAAAACACCATGTCAAAAATGTCGTTTGCGAAACCACTCTGCAAAGTAGTGTCGAAATCTTTATGAGAAGAACACTGGCACACCAACTACAAATATGACTGTCAAACAGTCCAGCAAGCCTTTCAGACTGGTTCCCAGACACTGCTACATCAAACCGCATGGCTCCAGACTTGGCTACCCTGAAAATTTCTGAAGAGTACAAAGGCAAAGACAAAATTCTAGTTGGTAATGGAAATGGCTCATCAATTAAACATGTTGGACAAGGTAGCTTATATTCCAATTCTCAGAAGTTCAAACTTAATCATATTCACGTCCCTCCTATGCAAATACAATCACTATCTGTCAATAAATTTACAAGAGATAATAATTGTTTCTTTCAATTCCATTATAACCATTTTGTTGTGAAGGACGAGAAACAAGGAAACCTTGGCGAGAAACACAGAAACCATTGCTCCAAGGACCGACTGAAGATGAACTACACAGACTTCCTGGGGTTGCCTTGCAGTCACTATGCCAAGGAGCACAGGCATTAATTAGTGAAAAAGTCAGCGTGGAGGATTGGCATGTCCCAAGTTGGGACATCTTCATTATCCTTTTGTGGTTTCAGTTATTAATAATTTTCAATTATCCTTTTGAACCAAGATGTTCTTGTTACTTATGGAAGTGTACTGGAGTCACTCTGCCTAGATTCTATTACG